ATTTAAAATTTTAAAACATTTTTTAATATTATTTCTGCACAACTGTTTCCTAAGTTAAATATTCGTCATATTTTTTTTAATTGCGAAATTTCTAAAATTAGAATTTTAAAAAATTTTCTAAAAGATCTAAAATTAATTTACATTTTTAAAATCTTCCAGGATTTGTAAAACGAAAAAATTTACAAGGATTATAACAAATTCTATTTTTTTTCTTAAAATACAATTTCTATCATTTCTAAATAAAATCTGAAAATTTCTTAATTAAAATTTTTTCACATTTCTAACATTCAGAATATGCTAATAAAATATAATTTATAAAATTACAAAATACTTTAAATTTTCTCATCTTTTCTAGGTTTTTATTCTAAAGATGAGGCCATCAATCCAAAATGGAAATAATAAGCTCTTCTCCTCAAAATTCAAACAAAAGTTGTTCCTTTGTTTGAAGGAGTTGAATATGCTTTAAAATTAGCATAATTAATTCCGTTCGATACATTTATTCCTTTGGATAATCCTTCATTTTATATACGCCATATAGGCTTCATGGTGCAACAGTAAGCGCAATAATCGAGTGGTCTCCTATTTGATTATTTTGAGTCTTTTTCTACGGCTTAACAACTTCTAGATCTTTTAAAACCAAATATTATTTTTAGATTATAAGAATCTCATTTTATTTTATTTATTATTTTTTTTTTTGTAGATGATGATTTAGTGATACAAGTTCAACTAATTAACTCATAGCTGTGGAAGGAAGAGATGGATTCGTAACCTTTCTCAAGGATATTGGCGCGTAAGAGAATAAGCCAACAGCAGTTGACATTCCCAAGCGGTCACACATGCAGTCCCCTATATTAAGATCAATCGTTTGTGTTCACTCGATGATTGTTTGAATTTACCAATAATTGCTTCTGCATCCAATTCATCTAAGAATTCCTTTTCAATAGATAACAACATGCATGATTCCAAATTCTCCTCAGACAGCGAATTTCTTAACCATGTCTTTATGATCTTTAGCTTTGAAAATGTTCTTTCACATTGGACTTGAGTAACTGATAGTGTGCAGATAACTTCATAAAGTTATTTTCCTTTTGGTGATTAAAAAAGTTGTTTGCGTTTGTTTATTGATTTCATTTATCTCTATCTATAAAAGGCAGGATGTGTGTGTGTGTGTGTGTGTGTGTGTGTGTGTGTGTGTGTGTGTGTGTGTGTGTGTAACGAAAGCACGGCCGTAATTTTCGACGGATTTGCACCAAAATTTACATGCACATGCTCCAAGTTAGCGGGAAGCCCAAGACCGACTTCGCATTTCTCAACTCCCATCGCTAGTGGAAATAATCGATTTTTTCATGCTTCTACGGCAGTTTTCATGTAGTTTGCAGCCATTTAGTGCTGACCAAACTGAGAGCCTATAGCTGGCTGCCACGAATAGGCAGGAAGATTCTATTGGCCAGCGTGAGAGCCAACAGCTGACTGACACGAATCTTAATTAGCATGCTAATATGCCAAAAAAAATCGATAGCTGCATTCGTCACAAGTGGGAAAAATTTAAATCTGCATGACACTTTATCTTTGGCTCATTCGCTTGTTTAAACTCAACGTTGATTCTGATTCCGCAGAACTGGGTTGGGTGTGAAAAAGTATTTGTTGTTAACATTCTTTTTTTCATTCGGATTCGAGCAGAATTTTGTTTAGTTCTGGGTAACAGATTTAATATTTTAGTACTGGAAAAAAAAAATGAGATGGTCAACTTAAGGCATGTAAATAGAGACGGCAAAGGACACTCCTTTGATATGCAAAAATATTTTAAGTAAATATCATTGTGAGACGTACGATTTTTTAATCAACGGGCATAAATTGAAATTTTTTATATATATATATATATATATATATATATATATATATATATATATATATATATATATATATGTGTGTGTGTGTGTGTGTGTGTGTGTGTGTGTGTGTGTGTGTGTGTGTGTACCAAGTATATATAAATAAATAAATATGTATATTTTTTTCACGGGCGTATGTACTACATTATTAAATATGGATATGATGTGATATAATTGATTTTTATATTTTTTATTTGATATACCATCAAACCATATCATAAATTAAACAGAACGTACCTTCAGTTTTCGGCATCACCATTAAATTAAACAATTTAAGGATTTACAAATTTTACCTGTTACATATACACAGTCACCAAAAAACAAACAAATAACCAGCTTTAAATATAACAAATAAATTATATTTATTTTTTTTTTCAAAAATTTAAAAATAAATATAAATAATAATAATTTTTACCTATCATAATTTTACACAAACCCCACCACACGTATATACATACATGCGAGGAAATATTTTTCAGCGAAAAAATATATACATAATATGACATGTATACAGTCACGAGACACTAACGTGACATTTCCGCCACACTTCCAATGTTTAAATTTCAACATTTCAACATACAAATGCGTGTGTATAGACATAACACCACCCGTATACATACATGTGTTATAGCCGAAACTGCCCGCATACGTTTATAAATGTATGAGTCCTGACGGACGACCAAGTATGTATATGTGTCTGCATACATCGATGTTTGCGTTAGTACGATGAATGACAAAACGACGAAGTTTCCCCCACCACTTTCACAATAACACCAATACACGTAATCTACATAAACCCAAATTTTTTAAAACATTAATCAGTTTGTCTGACGATCGCTAAAGCGTGAAACCCAGTGTCGCAAACTCACATCTATCCAACCAAATATATATATATATATATATATATATATATATATATATATATATATATATAATTATATATATATATATATATATATATATATATATATATATATATATATATATATATGTGTGTGTGTGTGTATATATATATATGTGTGTGTGTTCACATTGGTGTGTGCATACCCATCGGATAAGAAGATATTTATATGACAGACATTCATTATGATATTCACTGGAGAGTGTTATCTGTTGAATTCTGCCTGATTCCAGTTAAGAAAGGAGCATGGCTTGTTTAGCCAAATACATCCTCCCTCCCATTTGAACTCAGAGCCATTATCGCCATATCGGGAAGTCAACGGAACCCCGAATGATAAAAGAGAAATTCGCCCGGTGTGATAAAACGGTAAATTTGTAGATTAAGCCCCGCATACCAATTGCAATTAAAATTTCCAGAAAATTTCTATTCTGGTGTAAGTTTACATGCTTATTTCGAAAATAATGGTCAAAGTTTGCCGAAATCTACCGTTTAGGATTTATCAACAATCTATGTTAGGCCATATTCGCGTCGTGGCTTCAGCCATTACTGGCGATATTTACATACTTTTGTCTCAAGTAATCATGCGCAGAAGCTTCACGTAACGCGAAAACTTTAATTTAAAATGAATGCGTGAAATTTAAAAAGTAACCCAAATTTTGGGTTATTAAATTTTGTATTTTAAAAAACATGATTATTTACAAAATAAAAAAATAACAAGTGCTAGAATGGACTTAATAATAACATGAACAATGTTAAAGTTCAAACATTTTTTTACTTTTTATTAAATTTTGGGTTTTAAAGAAGGATTATTCACAAAAAAAGACTAATCCTGCCAAAGGACTTAATAATAAACAATTTTAAGCAATATTATTTACGCATGATTATTTACAAAAAAAAAAAAAATCAACACTTGTCATTGTTTTTCTAAATAACTTAAACAAATTATAATAAAAGAATTCAATAAAAGCTTCACTTTCAAATGCGTCTAAATACTTCTTTTGGTTTTGCGTAGTAATTGAGACGAGTGAGAAGATAGAAAGATGAGTAAAAAAGCCGTTAACTAAGTAAACTTCCGCGCATGATTCCGGGGCTTAATCTGCAAATTTACTGATATAATCAAGGAAAAACAGACGAATACCCAGAGGACGGGTAAAAAGCGATCGAAAATGAGAAAGAACTATAAAATAAGAAGGGCAATCTTAATGGAATGGGCCCCCTATATCATATACTGGCAGCATGGCTCGGCGTTTTGTGTTTAATTCAAAAATCGTACGAATCATACAGCAATCGCTATCACAATGATTTAAAATATTTTTGCCCTTCCTTATTTTTAAAATGCTATTTTGCCGTGCTGATGTTGCTACATGCCTTACTTTTGCCTATCTCACACTGCGAATTTTATAATTTTTTCTATACTAAACATTAAATCTGTTACGAAAAAGAACTAAACAAAATGAAGAAAAAACGATCAGCTTTAAAAAAAATTTTTTTAAACTTTGGAAAAACCGAAAAAAAAAGAATGTTAACAACAAATTTTTTCACACCCAACCCAGTTCTGCGGAATCAGAATCAACGTTGAATTTAAGCAAGCGAATGAGCCAATTGGAGTAAAGTGTCATGGAGATTTAAAAATTTTTTCTTGTGACGAATGTAGCTATCGATTTTTTTTTTTGGCATGCTATAGTTAACATTCGTGTCAGTCAGCTTTTTGGCTCTCATGCCTGGCCAATAGAAAAAAAAAATTTATTAAAATGGCAGCCAGCTATAGGTTCTGTATTTCTGGCTAGTAGAAAATGATTATGCTCTTTACATGAAAACTGCCGTAGAAACATGAAAATATCGATTATTTCCCATTATCGATTTGGAGTTGGGAAAATGGAAAAGTCGGTTTTGGGCTTTTTTATTTGAGCATATACATGTGCAAATCCGTCGAAAATTCGTTACACACATATACATCCTGCCTTATATATATATATATATATATATATATATATATATATATATATATATATATATAAACTGGTTTAAGTTTTTTCATATTGCAAGTTCGGAACATCCAAAGTTCTATATGATTTACAGCCTTTACTACATCATTCGACAGAGACCAGAAGTTTTGTTGACGGGGCTTCTCGTTCGAGTTTTTGATCGCAACTAACTAGACTTGGTCGACCACGTATTGTCCTTCCGATCATTTCTACGAGTCTTTGACCTCATCTCCTAGTGACAAGGGCCGGACTCCATGAGCGAATATGAGAAATATACGAGTAAAGAAACGAAAAGAAGGGGGAGGGAGAAAGAAAGAGACAAGGGAAGGGAAGGTTTTGAGGAAGAGAGATGGGCTCGTTACTTATTAAATGTCTTAACGACATTTGCGGGTGGGGTGGATGGGTTCTCAACCCAGCCCATAACAAGATGATATACGAAGAACACCACTGTCACCCGTTTCCAATTTGTATACACAGATACCTGGAATATATATATATATATATATATATATATATATATATATATATATATATATATATATATAATAATTTTTTAAAAATATGATTCAAATTCGCTACATAAGAATCAGGATATATATATATATATTGATTTGTGTGTGTCTAAATTGATATAAACTATCAAACAATTAATAACATCAAATTGTATTACATTTTAATAAATTTTTTTAATTCATCAGAATCAAATTAAAAATAAGAATTTATTAAACTTTGAAAATTTTTCTGTTGATTTTAAAAAAGGATTACGATTTAAAAAAAATTATATAAAAAATAATCAAATATTTTCTTTATTTAAAATTTAAAAATTTATTATTAAGGACATGATTATTTTTTGGATTTTTTTTATATTCTGGGATGCACATATATCATATACATATATTTATATATATATATATATATATATATATATATATATATATATATATATATATATAGTGTAATGGCAAAATAACAAATCGTAAAAGAAAAACTGTCCAATTTTAGATTAATATTTGAAATGTTGTAATTTAGAACCAATTAAAAAGCATCAAAAACAGTTTTATTTTTAATAACACTATTGATATCTACTATCGAACAATAAGGACAACTCTTAAGTATAAATAATGATAATATATATGGGACCTCCTGATTCAGTTTGTAAAAAAATTCAATCAGTTTTTTTTAAAACTTATTCACCATTCTTTTGATGGTTCTTGTATGGACTTTGAAGATGGAAGCACATTTTTCTTTAGTAAGACTTCTTAAGCCCTAAGCCAGTTGACATTAATTTCGTTGTTTAGAAAGAAAAAACATTTCTTAATCAATATTGATGAAAGAAACAAATGACAAGCAAGGAAATAATTAAATTTGACAGATAGAAATTAATATAAATCTCTAAAAAGGAAATGAATTTTTTGAATTTATATTAAAATTTTCTTAAAATACAGACGATAAAATAAAGGAAAAAAAAAACACACAACGAAACTACTTTCAACAAATATAAATTAATCCACTTCAAAAACAGGTATTGTTTAAATTCAATATTTTCTTTAGTCTTTTTCTAAAGACAATTCAAGATTTGAGTGAAAAATTTACAGTCAGATGAAACATTAAAGTTTAATGAACTGAACAAAATTTGTTTTATTTTTTTCTTTTCAAATATTTTAAGAAATTGCAAATTTAATTAAAACAAATGCAAATTTATACATTCAATTGTTTTTCCTGTTAAATTTCTGAGATATAATTTTTTTTTTTTTTGCAAAAATAAACACCAATTTTAAAATGCAAATGAAATGAGTTTTTGTCTATATAATAAAAAAAAATATATCATTTTTTTAAAATGTCGGATTGGCCTTCATATCCGGATATTATTTCATAGACAGGGGGTAAATGCTCGAGCCTGTCAGTCATGGAGAGCTAGCCTCTGGCATTATGCCAGATATTCATCACTCATTACAAACGCTAATTTATCGACTGAATGATTTGATTTTACACTTTTTTATTATCTTTGATCATATCTAAACGTAATTATCATTCACATATTTGCAGATTAATACATACATATATATATATATATATATATATATATATAGAGAGAGAGAGAAAGTTTTTGAGATATTAATAGATAGATAGATAGATAGATAGATAGATAGATAGATAGATAGATAGATAGATTCCAACACAATCAAAAGGAATTGTGAAGAATTAGCCGTCCTCAGTACTGTAAATTATGTGTTTATTTTTATATGTATAATTTATTTTATTTCTAAATATATTTTTATTCTTTAATCTAGCCTATTCATTTTATATCAAATATAACTTTTTTTAAATATAATTTTACGTATTTTAATATAAATTATTTAAATATGACTTATTTTTAAATATAACTTATTTAAACTTTTTTAAACATCTTTTTATTCGTCTCTTAGTTTCAAATTAATATTTAATTCTTTATACAACCCCAATTCAATGTCATAAAGTTAATATCCAGGTTTAATTTTATAAAACCTATTCCCTTTAAGACTAATACCTTCCACCCTCCCTTGACCACTGTCTCGTGCCTTTCGTCTGACTGAAACGTTGAAATGGATAAATTCTGTATTGTTTTTTTGTTGTTTTTTTTTTGTTTAGTCTTGTTTTTTTTGTTTTGTTTTTTTATAGGTTTCACAGTTAAATTTCTAATTCCGACATGAACTCAGTGGTTGAATAAGACTGACATATTATATTTTCGTCGGTCGATATAAGATTATTTTCTATATGAGGTGATTTTGAATTTTATTGTAAATTAATATATATATATATTTATATATAGGAATTGGTTTAACGTTTATTAATCCGCGCTATTTCTAATTTATTTGTTTAAATGTTATTTTAATGGCTACTCATATTTGAGTAGCTGTTCCGTTTTTTTATTTATTTATTAAATAATATATTTATTTATTTCCATCTACAGCCTGAATTCTTCATAAATATAAATATGTAAAATATAATCGAGTTTTTTTTAATTATTTTTAATAAAGTAAATCATAATTATTTAATTATTTTTATAAATGTATTTTAGAATTTCGATTTACTTTATTAAAAACTAAAATACAATACGATTTACTAAAAAATAATTAAAAACAAATGCGTTTCATTAAATCATTATGTCAAAAAAAACTTGATTAAAAATAAATTTTGAGAATTTAATTTATTTAAAATAGTTAAAAAACTATGATTCAGTTTTTACAGTTCCTTTTCAATAATTCATTTAAATAAAATATTCACTAATTATAGGTTTTATATATATAATAATTCTCTTATATTACATAGAATATATAATGTTTTTTTTGTTCTTTTATTTATTTATTTGTTTTGTTCTTTTCATATTTATTTATTTACCTTTTAAAATGTTTTTTTGTAGGTCTGAGATTTTATCTGATTGAGTTATGGATATTCATAAATAGGATCATGGAATATTATGTTGAATTTATATTATATTGAATCTCTGTCCTTTGTTGAGTTCTGTAAGGATTCTATTGAATAAAATTTATATATTGTATCTATATATATATATATATTATATATATATATTATCTTTACGAATTTCAAATTGTTCCTATAACAGAATTGTGTCCAATTGCAGTATAATATTTGAAATGTTTACATTTTCACTATTAAACTTAAGCCTTTTGAAATCTCTGATATTTTTATATTTATTTATTTTATACATTAATTTTATTTAGGACAACATACTGTTAAATAATGATTCTTGCTTTTGGGAACGATTTTTTTTGATGGTTCTGTATCTTTCAATGGAAATTCATTTTTCTTTAGTAAGATCTAAAAAAATACAAAATAATTTGATTTTTCTCGTTTAGAAAAAAAAATTCCTTAATCAATATTGATGAAAATTTTTTTTTTTTTTTTTAAGAAAGAAATTGTACTAGATAGAAATTAACAACTCTAATGAAGGAAATTTAATAAATCTTTAGCCAGTAAAATTTTCTTAAAATACAGACGATAGTAAAAGGAAAAAAAAAAAACAACGAAACGAAACCTTTCAAAAAAATGTTTAATCCAGTGAGAAAACAGGTTTGTTTATTCAATATTAATTAGTTTGTTAAAACAATTCAAGATTTGAGTTGAAAGTTTAAAAAGAGATGAAACATTAGAGTTAGATAATGAAATAATTACTTTTTATTATTCTATTTTCAACTTTTAATGCAATTTAATAAGATAAATTCAAATCCATCTACATTCAATTGAAAATTTTCCTGTTAAATTTCTGAGATATAATTTTTTTTTTTTTTTTTTGCAAAAATAAACTTCAATTTTAAATGCAAATAAATGAGTTTTTTTTATATATATAAAAAAAAAATATATCATTTTTAAAATGAAAGATTTTTTCATATCCGGATATTATTTCTTAGACAGGGGGTAAATGCTCGAATGTCAGTCATGGAGAGCAACCAATTCTGGCATTAATCAGATATTCATCACTCATTACAAACACTAACATATCGACTGAATAATTTGATTTCACACTTTTTATTATCTTTATATATATATATATATATATATTTACAGATATATATATATATATATATATATATATATATATATATATATATATATAGAGAGAGTATTCATTTTCAGAGATAGATAAATAGATAGATAGATAGAAAACAAATCAAAGGAAGTTCATAATTAGCCGTCCTCAGTACTATAGATAATTGATAAATAGATTTATTTATATTAATTTATTTTATTTCTAAATATATTTTTATTTTTAATCTTATTCATTTTATATCAAATATAGATTTTTTTTAAATATCTTTACGTATTTTAATATAAATTATTTAATTATTATATTTTTAAATATACATTTATTTAAATTTTTATATCTTTTATTCGTCTCTTAGACTTTCAAATTAATATTAGATTCTTTATGACAATAATTCAATGTCATAACATTAATATCCAGGTTTAATTTTATAATAAAACCTATAATATTTAAGAATAATAGATAATTTCATCCCTTGACCACTGTATCCTTTCGTCTGATTGAAACGTTGAAATGGATAAATTCTGTATTATTATTTTTTGTTATTTTTTTTTGTTTAGTCTTGTTTTTTTTTTTTTATTTAAATTTATAGGTTTCATCTAGTTATCTAGAAAGAATTCCGACATGAACTCAGTTTGAATAAGACTGATATATTATATTTTCGTTTTCGATATAAGATTATAGATTTTTATATGAGGTGATTTTGAATTTAAATTTAAATAATATATATATATATTTATTATAGGAATCAATTTAACGTTTAAGATCTTTTTCTAATTTATTTGTTTAAAAATATTTATTTTAAAAAATCTCATATTTGATTCATATCTATTTTATTTTATTTATTTATTAAATAATATATTTATTTATCCATATACAGCCTGAATCTTTATATAAATATATATGTAAATATATCTCGAGATTTTTTTTATTATTTTTTAATAGATTTAAATATATTTATTTAGAATTTTTATAAATTTATTTTTAATTTCTATTACTTCATTAAATATGTTATAAATACGATTTTTCTAAAAAAAAAAATTAAAAAAATAGAATTCGTTTCTTAAATCATTAATATATCAATATCAATTGATTAAAAAAAAAAATATCAATAAGATTTAATTTATTTAAAATAGTATATATAAAAACAAAATTTCTATTCATATTTCATATTTATAGATTTTAAAAACAATAATATCACTTTAGTTACAAATAAAGATTTAAACATCATTTAATTTAAATGAATTTCATAGAAAAAAATAGATAAAAATGTTTTTTTATTAAAGGATTTTATTTATTTTTTTTTATTTATTTTTTTTGATAAATAAATATCTCTAGATTATATCGTGGAAACTAGACGGTGTCTGAATAGATATTTTCAATCTAGATCTAAATTGATAAGGAATTTATGAGTCGGCGGTGTTGTTTTCCATGTTTACCATGATTTGTATTAATAAAGAATTTATTATTTTTTTTTTATCAGTGTTACTATCTATCATCTCATTATTTTAAAAATATTCTTTAGATACATGGACATTTGATAGATATATAGATTTATATATCAAATTATATATAAAAAATTTTTTAGAAATGTTAATTTATATAGATGATCAATTTTTCAATCAAAATTATCAAATAATAAAAACAGTTTTAATTTTTCAATTAATGGATGATATGTTAAAAAAAAAATTTCCCAAAAAAAATTTATTTTCAATTACAAATCCAATTTTTAGAGTTAACGTTTTTTATTCTTTGATTTTTTTTATAGATATTCAAAATTGATATTTATCTAAATACAATTTTATCTATTTATCCCAGGAAAATAACTAGAGGCGAAAAAAAATAAAATTAAATCAATTCAATTTTTAAAAAAGAATATATATAAAATTTTGATATTTAATCATTCTAATTTTCTTTTATTTTATAAAAACTTTTAATAATAATTGTCATAGATAAAATTCATAGAAAGATTGAAAAAAAGTCTCATGTTTTATTTAATAGATTATTTTTTTGTGAAATTTTTTGCAAATTATGTCTAAGGATATTTTCTATTCAATAATTATTTGTTGATAAAAAAATTTTATTTTGATTTTTAAACCATTTTGAATTTTATATTTTTGATTTTTTTTTTTTAGTTAAGTCGATATTTTATAAAAAATTTATTCCAAAGGATTGAGATACAAAAGGATCATATTAATTTATAGAAGGTATTTTTATTGATTTTTTAATAAATATTATTTCAATAATTTAAAATTTTAAATCTCATATAAAACATATAAACATTTTATTTTGTAAAATTTTTGACAAAATTTAAAAAGGATCAATTTAACAATAAGAATATTTATATATATAAATAAAATATATGGTTCAATATATTTCTTTATATATATATTATGACACAAAAATTTAAATGCAATTTTTAAAAATAAATATATTATATTTATATAATAAATATAAAACATTTTTTATTAAAATAATATAAAAAATCAATTAATTATTTCTTTCAATATATTTAAATTACCAGAAGGAAAACTAGGATACTAGATTGAAATTTTCAAGGAAAATACCGGAATATTATTTTATCTGACATTGATTTTATTTTATATTTAGGCATGTTCAAATTTATTTTTAAATTATTTGAAAAAAGAGTATTTATAAATTTTAAAATCTTTTAT